ATACACACACACATGAACGTAAAAAAACACATACACATATAGAGAAACACACAGACACACAAACATACGCCTCTCCTGATACTCACAGATATACACACACACACACCCACCCCCACACCCACCCAGCCCACCCACCCACACCCAAAACTCACTTGTTGTAGAGAATCACATCAGGTTTCCACACTCTCTGGAAGGGGACCCGAATGACTTCGATCCCACCAAAGTCTGATGAGTTCCAGGTGAGGTGAGCGTCCGTCCATATCTGTGTCAGCCAGCAATTAGTAGTCAAGATCTGGTTTTTCTCGTCCTGTGGGGTAAGATAGTGGTGGTTGTTGGTTAGTGGTTTTGTGGTTACTGGTGATGGTGGTTATGGTAGTAGTTCATGGTGGATGTACTGTAGGTGATGTTATATCTCTCTCTCTCTCTCTCTCTCTCTCTCTCTCTCTCTCTCTCTCTCTCTCTCTCGTGTCACCTGGCATTTGGGTAATAGTCTAGATCGCTATTATTTCACTTTAATAATCACCTGACGAGGCTATGAGTAATAATTAGATAATTAGTTAAAATAATAGATGATTGCTGATAATTATATAACAAAAGAGAACATAGCATATTGATATTACATTTAATTAAAGGTTAAAAGTTTTATACATGTGATAATTTAAACCAATTACCTTCATTTTGGAATACACAAATAATTAATTGATAAATTATCTAGAAATAATGAAGCAATTAATATATATATTATATTAACTTGCGCTATAATGTAACTTACTGTAACACTCTTGTTATTATTGAATGATTTTAAGGAAAACTAAAATATTGGATAATATTTGAGTATTTAAATGACTTAATTTTACTGAGAGCGTCACAGGTCAGTGTTATTGTTATTATTGTTTTTGTTGTTATTATTGTAGTTGTTGTTATCATTACTTTATTATTATTATTAACATCACTAAACAGAATTAACAAAATAATATTAAAAATTTACCTTCATTCACCATTGCCTTCAAAAGATCATGAAATTTTTGGGGGAATTACTGCCTATAAAATACCATTGCTATTAGGAGCTGGGTTATATATATATATATTTTTTTTATCGTATTTCACTTAATATATAATATTTTATGGCCCAAGAAATCTTTCAGCCGATTAAATTGAAGACAAAAAATGGTGAAAATAGTCTTAAGTGTTATTGCCATCAAGAGGTCGTCGATTTTTATTTCGAATATCAGCCAATAAGCGAACGAGATTCTTAGGTGGATTTATGGACCAATCAGGATTCACTTCAGTCGGAGAAAACGTCATTTATAGACACATAAATTCACATGGACGGTGAGCCTTGACTCTCAGCCATCTGTGTGACTCACTCTATGGCTCACTGTACCAGTTATATGACTCACTGTACCATCTGATTCACTGTACCAGCTGTATGACTCACTGAACTAACAATAAAACTGGCTGTATTTACACCTTCCTAAGAATAACCTAACTTACCCTAATCTACTAACACAACCTAACCTAACTTAACCACAACCAAGTTTCGAGCATAAGTTTTGGTGAGAGGGGGAGGGGTGAATTAATACGTGAAGCTGAAACTCTGAACCCTGTGGCTGTAGCTTCGAGGCAACAAACACACACACACACACTTGGTCGAGATGAATATAGCCTCCTTAAATCATCTTCAGAGAAACTAAGGACATAAATGACTTGAGTCTCTGGTCTACTGACTCGAGTTACTGGCCGTATAAGACGATGTAATTCGCTTTGTTGTTGGAACTTATAGCTTAAAGAGAGGATCCAGGAGGGAATTAGGAGTCGGAGATGATAGTCTTTTGTTTTTTATGATCTGCCGCCAAAATGAGATGGATTCAGGAGTTTATAGTTTTATGGTATTTTGTTTTTTTAGGGGGGGGGTTTTAGTTGTAGTTAAAACAAAAGAAATTAGAGTTTATCTTATGTTTTACACTTTAGTCCGGAGCTATAATGACTAATAAGAGACATGACGGACATAAAGAGAGTTAAATCCCCCATAATTCTGAGTTATTGAAGTGTAGTAACAATGTGATGACGTCAGTGATGGTATTTTGTCGACCTTGAAAGTCAAAGAGAATACAAGAGATAATATTTTTACGTTAATAGATCATTAGTAAAGAAATTATGTATTTTTGACATTACTGTAGAATCCAACCGAGTTATTGTTGCCTTTTCGCTCAGGTTCTTTAAGCATCGTTCATTTAGTTTTAGTTTAGAAATTCAACAACAAAATTCAAAAAAATCTGCAAAATATTTTCCCTCCAAGTATTTTCTTTTTAAACTTTGAGAATTAATAGATCCTAATGGTGGAATTATTTTAATATTTAATTCATCACGTATAATAATTCTCGGGTATTTTTTCAGTATTTAATTCCTTTACATACCAGAAAGGAATTAAATTAGTATCTATCCGGTAAACAAATTGATGTCTCGCCCCCCAATAATTTTCTATTTCGTTTATAATTCTCAGCATTTGTGGCCATATCAGTATTTTCCACAAGGTGACATCAATAAGAATCAATGGTATATATATATCTCTTTAGTTAAAACCAATTGAAATATCATTAATCATATCTCATTGTAATTATTTGAAACGATGGTGGATGCAAATTGCGTCAAAATAACACGCCAATGTATGCTGATAATATTCGCCCTGATATAAACGTGGTGTAAATATTGATAGTATTGGTATTATCACCATTAGACAAGTGTAATAATATTAATTCATAAGTTTAATATTTTTTACTGATAATGTTCTTGTAGTCAAAGTATTAAACTGATTATATAACGTCAAAAATTCCTATTAAAAAAATAAAATAAAAAATACTTTAACGCTCACAAAAGTACCAAAGTTTAAATCAATAAACTTTTGATAATTTGTATGGTAACATTATAGATGATAGAAATTACTCTACGCTAAAAAAATATATATCAAATTACCTTGAAACACCACCCCCCCCCCAAAAAAAAATATATATATACCTGGAAATATTAATTATAAATATTTTTACAGGTGAGTTACTCTTCTGAAAATAGTGTCAGCAGAGAAAACAATCACATTATTATTTTTTTTATTATTTTAATTTGTTTTAAAGAGTAATTGTTAGTGTAAATTGTGTGAACCCTGGCGAGAGACTATTACATACATACATACATACATACATACATACATACATACATACATACATCTCAATCTTGTAGTGTCAACAACAAAGAGTTTATTTAAAGTTATTTCATCTTTAATGGATTAAAATCATAACAGCTTAAAATCATTTCCATCGAGTGAACCAAAAGCTTTATTTCTATATTTTATCGAAAAGCTTAAAATAGTTAAACAGTATACGTGATTTAGTTACAATTTAAGCTTCGGATTATGATTTCATGTGAATTATAAAAAATATAGCGTATAACCATATCAAATGAGAGTAATCAAATTTCTAATCAACATTCAACTAAATTAATTCTATAGCTTAGGTTTATCTCAAAAGCTAAAATAAAAATCTTAAATTTTAGCTTTTTTCTTTACCAATATAAGCTACAAATTTTATAGCTTACGATAATGATTCTCTTGCATGGCAGACTCAACTAATATGACAATATGGAGTTAGTGAGACAACCAGGTTATATTTGGGGGATAATGGTGTTAGTGGTGCAGTGCTACCCTGTCAGACGAGGAGAGAGAGAGAGAGAGAGAGAGAGAGAGAGAGAGAGAGAGAGAGAGAGAGAGAGAGAGAGAGAGAGAGAGAGAGAGAGAGAGTGCGTGTGTGAACTGTTTCTCTCTCAATCTCTCTCTATCTATCAACCCCCATCACTAAGACTCACCACATCAATAATACTATGCAGGGAGACGCCGAAGACGACAGTAAGAGCCTGGGAAGAGTTACTCGCTGGCCTGACGGAGGGGTCGTAGTTCGCCAGCAGGTAGCGTGTTAGACGGTACTCCTGTTCGTCACTGCCAACCACTGCTGACGGCAAAACACACGTGGTTAGGAAGCTGTTTTGGGTGGGTTTGAGACGTAGTTAGGAGGGTGTTATTGAAACCTCGATATAACAGACTTTCTCTATATAAAATCCGTTAATGAGAGTTTCACATCTAATAGACCCTCGATATAACGAACATGCAGTCCGCTAAATAGAGGTTTCACTGTATTCATAATTATTCATATACATAAACATAGAAATAATTACAAGATAAAAAAATACCAGTCCACGTATAATACATATTAAAATATATACATATATTATTATACATATGTATTTACACAACATATATGAAAGCTTACTCATTATGAATATTCATTTACATATTCTCTCCCCCTAAAAATACAATACATTAATAGTACAGGAACACACACACACACACACACACACACACACACACACACACACACACACACACACACACACACACACACACACCACACACACACACACACACACACACTCACACACACACACACACACACACACACACACACACACACTTTATTATAATACACTAAATATAAAATTAATCCACACTATATATCTCTTGGCTATAGGAGTATACTATATATATATATTTTAATAAGAGTCTCTGAATATTTTATAAACTATTCTTATATTTCATTTATGTGGATTAAAACACCCGTATTTGTGTTGGTGTGTTATGGGAAGGTTTGGTTTGGTTAGGTTAGGTTAGGTTAGGTTTAATAATGAGTGACGTGGTTCTTTTGGGGATGAGGAGGAGAGGTAGGGGAGGAGTGGGGGAGTAGGGGAGTGGGGGGGTAGTGGGGAAGGATGGAGGGGGTAGGAGGGAGATAATGGTGTTTTTGGGGGAGGTGGATTGGGGAAGGATGTGGGGAGGAAAGGAGGAGAGAGGAAGGAAACTAGAAGGAAAATGAGAAGGAGGAGGTGAGAGAAATGAAAATGGAAAGGGAGGGATAGGAGAGGAGGAGAAGGAGGAGGACGAATGAAGCAGGGAAAGGAAGGAGGGGAGGAGGAGAGTGGCCGGGTAATAAAGGAGAGGAGGGAGGGGGACGAAGGAAAGGGGGGAAGGAGGAGGAGGGGGGGAGGGGAAGGAGCAGGTTCATCTCATCAGACTAAGTCACCTTGTGTAACTTTCCCACGAGGCTACTCTTGTGAAGATTACGATGGCCTCCCTCTCTCTCTCTCTCACTCTCTCAGTTCTCTCTCTCTCTCTATTCCACATGTATAAAAACAAACACACAAAAAAACACGAATTTTCTTAGAACACACAAAGTTACTCTCACTGTGTTTCCATAAAGTTACTCTCACTGTGTTTCCATTCAGCTTACTTTCACTTACGACCCCCCTCCCCCACACCTCCCCCACACCCCCACAACCCCTAAAAAAGTAAGAAAAATATTAATACTATGAAGTGGGTTCCTGTGTCTCAGCTCTCCAGTATTCACAAAGATTCTTACGTTAACTTCCCTCTCCCACAAAATGATACTGAGAAGCACATCTGTCTCACTTGACCTACGATGAGATATATGGTATTCTCAGAAGTTCTTAAGTTAAATTATTTCCTTTAACTTAAGTGATTAATTTTAACTCAGTGTTTAGTAAGTTAAATTCTTCCTATTAACTGGAACTAAGAGACTTATTCTTATTGGTTAACTTACTATATAATAGAAACTGGATTCACCATAACTCTTAAGTCAAATTATACGCCTTAACTGGTGATGGACTTTTGTATATAACTAACTCGATTATATACTAAATAAAGAGGAATTATAAACTACCTTTAACTAATAATAAAACAACGTATCTAACTGACTTACTTATACCACATCTCCAAAATGGTTAGGTTAAGTTAGGTTAGGTTTGGTAGGTTGGTTTATGTTAGGTTAGGATTGGTTAGGTTAGGTTAGTTAGTTTGTTCTCTTATCTCGTGTTAAAGAGAGAATTAACTCAACCTAACCTAACCTACCCTAACCTGTTCTAAACTAACCTAACCTATCCTACCCTAACGTCATAACCTAACCTAACCTGTTCTAACCTAACCTACCCTAACCTAACCTGTTCTAACCAAACCTAACCTAACCTAACTCAGCAAACCTTAAGGAATACCGGTCAGACTGTTGTATTAAGAGTCAGAATGTCGTATGTTGACATGAGATCAACAGCCTTACCGCACTATATACTGAATCCTCGGGACAAGATAGTGCTTCCAGGAATACGTAAAACGGGGTAAGATAGTGATATACACCACATTAAATTTAAAGGGTTTGGTGATATAAAAGATTGTAAGAGAATGTGTAAGAGAGAGAGAGAGAGAGAGAGAGAGAGAGAGAGAGAGAGAGAGAGAGAGAGAGAGAGAGAGAGAGAGAGAGAGAGAGAGAGAGAGATAAAAAGAGAATGAAAGAAATGTTGAGAGATAAAAGAGAGAGTAAAAGAAAATAGAGAGAGGCAGAGGCAGGAGAGGCAGACAGACAGAGGAGACAGAAGGAAGGAGACAGACAGACAGAGAGACAGAAGGAAAGAGACAGACAGAGAGACAGAAGGAAAGAGACAGACAGACAGAGAGACAGACACAGATAGAAGGAAAGAGACAGACAGATAGAAGGAAAGAGACAGACAGACGGAGAGACAGACAGATAGAAGGAAAGAGAGACAGACAGATAGAAGGAAAGAGACAGACAGATAGAAGGACAGATAGAAGGAAAGAGACAGACAGACAGATAGAAGGAAAGAGACAGACAGACAGAGAGACAGACAGATAGAAGGAAAGAGACAGACAGACAGACAGACAGAGAGACAGACAGATAGAAGGAAAGAGACAGACAGATAGAAGGAAAGAGACAGACAGATAGAAGGAAAGAGAGACAGACAGATAGAAGGAAAGAGACAGACAGACAGACAGCTACTAAATCATAAACTCGATAATATACCCGTTCAATAAAGTCTCAAAAAAGATGGAATTTGAGGCAGGAAATCTCAAACATATATTCTGAGTCAGGAATTTCAATAAGAAAGATATGTATAATTTTAGGAAGAAGAAGAAGAAGAAGAAGAAGAAGAAGAAGAAGAAGAAGAGGAAGAAGAAGAAGAAGAACGTGTACTGTGTGGCCATTAACCAAACCATAACCTAACCTAACCATAACACAACCAGGTATAATTAAAACTCATAAATTATATAAAACTCTTAAATAATTATTATCTTGTGAGGGAATTACTTCAATGTAAAACTCTTCATTAAACAGTAATGTCATTAACGACTAAATTTATCTCATTTACCTGACAAAATGTGTGTGTGTGTGTGTGTGTGTGTGTGTGTGTTAGTTAACGGGGTACTTTACATTATCTTGTGAACGAGAGAGAGAGAGAGAGAGAGAGAATACTTGGAGAAATGAGAAGTCAGACAGACATCCATACATAGGAAAATCGAGAACGACAGACAGACAGACAGAGACAGACAGACAGACAGACAGAGAGACAGACAGACAGACACTTCCCTCCCCCAAATATAGCCTCTAAAGGGCCTTCCTCTATCTGTCCTTACACAACAGTAGGAAGTCTCAAGTGAGTTTTGTTTCCATATTTATAAACACCAGACCCACGAATGCGCATAGGAATGACCTTTTTATGAAAATTAGGAAGAGGGGAGAAAAGGGACAAAGGGCGGATGATTCTTTTGTAGGGAAATAATTATGGGGAGAAAATTTGTGGGGAGAAAATTTGTGGGGAGAAAAATTGTGGGGAGAAAAATTGTGGGGAGAAAATTTGTGGGGAGAAAAATTGTGGGGAGAAAATTTGTGGGGAGAAACTGCTTAACGAGACTCTGAACTGCTTAACGAGACACCGATCTGTTTAAACTCCCTCCCCATAGATGGCGCTGTTCTTCATAACGCCAAGTCTGCTACAGTTTCCAGCGTAATGTGTAAAGTTACTACTAGTTTGTGACCGTGTAAAATATATAGAGATGGATGGTTGGATGGTTGACGGGAGGAGGAAGAGGAGGAGAGGAAAGGAGGAGGAGGAGGAAGAAGAAGAAGACCTAGGAGGAGGAGGAAGAGGAAGATGGAAGCACACACACACACACACACACACACACACACACACACACACACACACACAGCATAATAGATATAAATAAATAATAAATAAATAAATAAATTCCAAATAGTGTTATGTGTTTCAATTCTCGAGATAATATGTAATTATCCAGCTGGTCCAACTGTGAGTTTGTTGACATGAGAAATGTTTACTTTTATCAGATGAGAGGTCGGGGGATGTCTGTCTGTCTGTCTGTTTGTTTGATTATCTGTCTGTCTGTCTCTACATATATATCTCTATCTGTCTAACCTTACCCATCTCTCTCTCTCTCTCTCTCTCTCTCTCTCTCTCTCTCTTCAGACACTCGCCTTAGTCATTGATTTAACACACTGCAGGAGAGCGTGTCAGCCATATAACTAACTCCCTACGTTCTGAACTTCACCATAAATACTGCAAAAAATTTAATTATTGTATATTTTGTTGTTGTAAATTTATTCATCGTAAATGCAACGTAAATACTTGAAAATTTGTAAATCATCATAAGTCTAGTTAATGTAAATGTGGTAAATTTTATTATCGTAAAAAAAATTCGTCATTGTAAATTAAATTATTATATTGAAAAAAATATTATCTTACGTTTTTTTTGTGTAAATTTTCTTCTTGTAAATTTAAGGTTTAGTGTAATTTTAAGTAATATCGGTGTTTAGGTAATTGGTATCGGTTTTATGTAACGAAATATCGGTTTCTGTGTAACTTTTCTCACACGGTTATAGAATCTATCCATCACGTGAGAATTGGAGCTGGATAAATGAGGCTTCAAATCCAACCCACAGGTGAGACTCTGGCTAAAATAAACTCACATGGAACTTTACCTTGAAACACCTTTAAAGAAAAATTAAAACAAGACGACCTATTGAAAGTGTGACCAAGTGTGTGTGTGAGTGTATGTGTGTGTGAGTGTGTGTGAGTGAGTGTCTGTGTGTGGGTGTATGTGTGTGTGTGTTAGTCACCGAGCTGCCCCGTTCTCACAAATGCCAGGAAATGAATTTCTCTCGTAAGTAGAGATTTAAGAAGAGAGTTAGCTGGTTGTCTTAGAGTTAAACCTGTATATATATGTTGATGGTAAGAAAATGGCCAAGGCATTATATACACTTACCATTATTATACGGTGTTGGTGTGGCCAGAAGTGCAGTTGTTGTTTGAGAAGGAGGTTGTTAGTTGTTGAAGAAAAGGAAGGTTGTTTGGTCTTGTTTGTTTATGAAAGGGAGGGTTGTTGTTGTTTGTTTAAGAAGGGGAAGTTGTTATTAGTTGTTGATTATAAAGGCCACTGAGTAAATAACAGTATGTCAAAGGTTGTGATTTCTGTTATAGAGGAAGAACTCATGTGGTTATACAATTGGAAGGTTATGGTTGTGGGTTGTGAGGTAGATCAGTTAAAATATATTGTTATAGAGATTAAACACACACACACACACACACACACACACACACACTGACCTTTGAGGGTGAGGGTGATGACGTAGAGAAGGAGGCTGACCTCTCGTAAGGTCACCACACGGGTCATCTTGCCTCCCTCCTTCACCAAGGCTAGGTCAAGGATCGATCAATGTCCTCTCTTATGATGAGGAAGGTCAAGTACCAAATGACCTTGATAACATTGAGTTGAGGAAAAGGTCAAAGGTCAAGCTTCACTATCCCCAGGTAAAATTAAAGGTCACTGACCTTAATACCACTGGAGTAGGTCAAGAATCAATGCCCTTATTATCATCAAGCGAGGTCAAGGTTAATTTAACCTTATTTTCAATGTTCTAGGTCAAATAAGTTACCCTTCTCCTTCACTTTGTTTGGTCAAGGGAAACAGAGGTGATCAATAATGTGTAAAAGTTTTCATCCTCTTATAGTTCTTTCTTTTGTTCTATCACTTTTGTTTTATTATTATCACTTCTCTTCTCTTCGTGTTCTTTTATCTACTGCAGTTCGTTCCTTTAGGTAATATCCCTCTATAAATAAATACAAAAATATCAAACCAAAACACCATTATTATTATTTTATCTTGTTTTTCCTTTCACGGTATTTTCAATTTTATTTCTCGCTGTTATTATCAACCAATGTCTTTTTGTTTTATTGCTTTGTTTGTTTATATTTGCATGTATGTATGTTTGTATGTATGTATGTATGTATGTATGAATGTATTCTAGGGATTTTGTCCAGAGGGATTTTTTTGTCCAAGTGTTTAAGTTCAATAAGTTTTGTAATACATAAAGTCAATTTTGTCCAGTCGAATTTCTTTCAATTTAAGTTTCGTACCCTGGAGTTTTGTCCGAGAATGAAGAAGATAGAAAGATCGAAGAGTGACGGCCAAGAATGAAGAGGAAAAAAGGCGACGATGCTTGGTCAGCTGATCGACATTACTGGAACCTGTGAGTGGATGAGAAAAACCAATTTCCTCTTCACTAATCAACTCAACTGCCAAACTGGATGGATTTTACAGCATCTAATAGTATTTTTCTTTATAAATACACCCAATTAAACCTCAACTAACATTCACTAAGTTATTACAAGTTTAAATGAAAAATTACAGATAATTACTGGAACCATTTGTCTAGGGGTTTTTTATCGTGAAAATAACAGACTGTTTATTAAGTATTATTTTCATATTTTGGTTCCTATAATATTCTTACATGATATAAATTCACCCAAATAATAATAATAATAATAATCTCGTATTTATATCCCAACTATTGTTATTATTTTTTTTTATTATACAGTTTTTTCTCACAATTTTATTCCCACTATTTTACGTACAAAGTTCCCCCCCCCCTATTTTTTCCCACCCATTTTTACTAACAAAGACAGTACCATCACTCAGCTTTATTTTAATCCAATGTTTATACACAACAACGTCAACATTTCGGGGGATCTGTTCGTGTTGGGTTTTTTTTTTCCTGTTTCCCCCACCAGTCATGACAAACACACAGACGAAGCGAGATTTACTGTTTTATATCATCTTTTTCCTTTTTATATCATGTCAATAGTTATATTTACACCATTAATAAGTTTCAATCATGTTTCTCTCTCTCTCTATAAAAGAATATATTTATTAACAGCTTTCCAATATAAGTCGGGAATTTATATCCTATGCTCAGCCTGAATGCTTGAAATTGGAGGATTTTTGTACAACTAATCGCATTTTTCTATTTTTTGTTGTACGTGTGTTCGATGTACATTGAAAATAATTACACCCACCTCAAACACGATACATCAAAGTTCATAGTATTTGATAGTTACAAGAGAACGTAAAATAGAAACATTATTGGAATGATTTACATATACCAGTTTTCTCAACTTAATGTATATAGTCTTCAAAAGGGAATCTTTACCTTCAGTCGTGTGGAAAGTTAAATAATAATATTTTAGATTTCAGTGTAGAATATATATAAAAAAATAGTTATTGTTTGTTTTGTTCTATTTCGGTGATTACAAATACAATCTTGGCTTTATTTAGACCGATCAAGCTTATATTTTTCCATTCTGTATCCGGCAGTTTACAGAAAAGTTTCACTCAACTTGTAGTCAAATGAGAGTCTTTTCCAACCAGCGTAAATAACGTATTGATAATTAAAAGCTATGTATTTGATAATTAAGAGAGTATAGTCAATACTCTGTTTATTCTCTCCGTGAAATAGAATAAAGAGTTAATTTTCAAATCAATTTCCCAGTTTTAGTCGCCCTAACAACCGGAATGAGAGTAGTTCGTATATCTAATCACTTCGTTGTTTTTTTTTAAATAAGTCTTTTGAAAAATAATTACACTTCGAACAAGATTCATTAAACTTTTTATTTTTATTTCAGAGTTTACGTTAATTATAAATAGTATTGGAATTGTTTGCGGGAGGAGGGGTGGGGGGGTTATTTCGTAATCTGATCGAGACAGTCTTCAGAAATGCTCGATTTTACTTGTTATGGTTTGTGGTGTTAGATTATGATACGTCGTGATCTATAATTACGAACTGGAGACAATTAGAGATATAATTCAACTCTGTTTTGATTCATCGTTTACAATAATGAACGCAAGGATTATTGGAACAGTTTGTCGCGTGTTTCTTTAAATTTTCGCGAGTTTTTTCATCTAGGTAAGTTTAGTGGATTTATATACAGATTATGTTCAGCAGTCTACCAGGTATGATGTATCTTAGTGTTTACAATCACCCACACAAAAATCGAAACTGTTTGTCATAAATTTCTCACTATAATTCGCCAGTTCTCCTAAAAGGCTTCGTTACCTTTATTTACCTGCAAAATTATAATAAAAATACTACCATATCCCAGCAAATATTACCACAACGAAAGATAAATATCAAAATTATTACCAACCACCTGTTTAACTATAATGTTGACTAATATCACAAAAAATAATATTGGAACGGTTTTGACTCTGTTTACACACGATGTTAAGTGAGTTTGTTGTTTTGAGTTAGCGAAGAGGTGGGCGGCGTGGGCGTGGGCGTGGGCGGGGAGGGGGAGAGAATAGGCGGGAAGGTTGTGTATTTTGTAATCTAAATCAATTAATCATCAATTATAACTATAAATAATGATGTTTAGAGTAATTAAATAGATGTGTGTGTATAATTGGGTAGTTTGGTGATAATGACGTCTGGTTGTAGTAAAAAAAAATATCTCAATTAATGTAATGAGGAAAAAATAGCAACTTAGAAAAATAAACAGACTATATATATTTTTTTATATTCATTAAAAAGAATAATAATAATAATGTTCTTAGTATTTAGACGTTGGGTGTATGTATTTAGGTTAGGTTTAGGTTAGGTTAGGTTAGGTTTAGGTTAGGTTAGGTTAGGTTAAGGTTTAGGTTTAGAGACGAATAAACAAAACAATTTATATCAGACCTGAACTTTGACCTTCCACGAGAGTAATACCTGCCATAGCAAAAACACTAATTGACCTTTGACCTTACATGACCAAAATACTTAATGACATCTAACTTTACATAACCAAAAATACTTACTGACCTCTGACCTTCCATAGCAACAATACAGTAATTTAAATGCACTCTAATTAGGCCTCTTTTTTCTCTATTTTTTAACAGCAATTGAGTTAATGTACACCTGAGCCTAAAAGTGAATTCTATTTCCGTCCAGTTATAAAAAAATAGATAAAAAATTAATTAGATGAAGTTCTGTTTAATTAGGAACACATAATCCCATTAAAGTGTTTAGCTGTTCCGTTAGTTACAATTAGTTGGTGTTGTATTTTATAGCAAGTATGTGCAGCGGTAGTTAAGGTGTTTATTGTGCTTGTTTAGTGTATAGTGTATGTGTCATGTGTTAGTGTAGTGTGTCATGTGTTATGTGTCAGTGTAGTGGATTATGTGTCAGTGTTATGTGTTATGTCTGTTATGTGTCATGTGTTAGTGTAGTGTATTATGTGTCATGTGTTATGTGTCAATATCAGTGGCAGTGTTATGTGTTATGTCTGTTATGTGTCATGTGTTATGTGTCAGTGTAGTGGATTATGTGTCAGTGTTTTGTGTTATGTCTGTTATGTGTCATGCGTTGTGTGTCAGTGTAGTGGATTATGTGTCAGTGTTATGTGTTATGTCTGTTATGTGTCATGTGTTATGTGTCAGTGTAGTGGATTATGTGTCAGTGTTTTGTGTTATGTCTGTTATGTGTCATGTGTTATGTGTCAGTGTAGTGGATTATGTGTCAGTGTTATGTGTTATGTTTCTGTTATGTGTCAGTGTTATGTGTTATGTGTCTGTTATGTGTCATGTGTCATGTGTTAGTGTAGTGTATTATGTGTCATGTGTTATGTGTCAATATCCAGTGGCAGTGTTTGTGTTATGTCTGTTATGTGTCATGTGTTAGTGTAGTGTATTATGTGTCATGTGTTATGTGTCAGTGTAGTGGATTATGTGTCAGTGTTATGTGTTATGTTTCTGTTATGTGTCATGTGTCAGTGTAGTGGATTATGTGTCAGTGTTATGTGTTATGTCTGTTATGTGTCATGCGTTGTGTGTCAGTGTAGTGGATTATGTGTCAGTGTTATGTGTTATGTCTGTTATGTGTCATGTGTTATGTGTCAGTGTAGTGGATTATGTGTCAGTGTTATGTGTTATGTCTCTGTTGTGTCATGTGTCTTATGTGCCCATGTTATACCCCCTGTGGTTCAAGTCATATCATGAATCAATTAACATATTCTATTACACCACATGTGTCATATATCCCAGAGCTTACGTCAACAACAACACCCTATGTGACACCACTAACAAGTTAAGATATAATGTATAACAGCTGACACACGAGATACATTATCACATGAACTAACATATGACACACACACACACACAAGGACAACACCTGGAATCGCATATATGGCTCAAGTAAATGCTTCTAAGTCAAGTCATTTGCATAGCATTTGCATATCACTGAAAACCCATTACCTTCAACGAAATTATTAACAATGTCATAATTATAATAATAATAGTAATAATAATAATAGTAATAATAATAATAATAATAATAATAATAATAATAATAATAGTAATAGTAATAATAATAATAATAATAATAATAATAATAATATTTTCTCTCAGTTGACACCATTACCATCACCACTCATTTGCTTCTATATTTTCAATGATTATTTTCACAGTATTAAACCGCATTCGTCAAAAACAATACGCTTAGATAAAGTTTCTGACATTATTATTCTTAATTCTCGTATATAATTCACATTTTTTCTATAACATCACTTTCTATTGATTTATTATTAATAGTTATTCTCACTGAAGTACTTCGTTTTAATTTGCCAAGAAGCAACACAGAATTTCAGCGAACAACACGGAAAATCACGCACAGTTTCACCTCCCACTCGCCATGACAGAAGCCAGGAGCCCACTGAGCGGAGCCTATGAGGACTAAGGAGCGCCTGGATGCTATGCGCCTCCCACGCTGCCGGTACACACCCTCTCTGCGCCTCACCACCATGCTGCCGGGCGTACGATATGGTCAAAACACTACCAGGCATACGATACTCTCGCCACAATGCCGGATGTGTTATGTAGGAGCTAAGTTACCGAATGTGGGATTAACTTACCACGTTAACAAGGGGTACGATACGTTCACCATGTTGCCAGGATTATGCTATGTTGCTGCCAGGGGTACGATACGTTCACCATGTTGCCAGGATTATGCTATGTTGCTGCCAGGGGTACAACACGTTCACCATGTTGCCAGGATTATACAATGTTGCTGCCAGGGGTACAACACGTTCACCATGTTGCCAGGATTATACAATGTTGCTGCCAGGGGTACGATACGTTCACCATATTGCCAGGATTATATTATGTTGCTGCCAGGGGTACGACACTTTCACCATGTTGCCAGGATTATATTATGTTGCTGCCAAGGGTACGATACGTTCACCACGTTGCCAAGATTATATTATGTTGCTGCCAGGGGTACGATACTTTTACCATGTTACCAGGATTATGTCACTCACTATGTTGCCAGGTACTTGATACTCTTACTTGTTCATTAAGCACAATGAAAACAAACAGATTAGAGCGTTTTATAATCTCTCTCTCTCTCTCTCTCTCTCTCTCTCTCTCTCTCTCTCTCTCTCTCTCTCTCCAGTGTTGCATTCCCATATTCTTGTTTAAACTGCAGAGATTACAGCAGGAAAATAAATAAAACTTTATGTGTTCTCCAGTTACAACGAAATTATAAGGCACTCGCTGTTTTCTCTCTCTCTCTCTCTCTCTCTCTCTCTCTCTCTCTCTCTCTCTCTCTCTCTCTCTCCACAGTGACAAATGGTGATTAGTTTGATGTGTCAATTCTATGGGTAGTCAATTAATTACAGCTAATTGATTATACTCTTAGGAGCTAATGAACCTGGATAACCTACCTGTACAGTTGAGAGAGAGAGAAAAGAAGAAGAAGAGAGAGAAGGCATTCGAACAATGAAACAAAAAATAAACAAATAAAAACAGACAGAAAAACAAAAAACAAACACAAAACAACCCAGAGACCACAAATAAACAAATAAAAGTTAAAAAAAAATAATTTCTAAATCTGTTTACATTTTTTATCAGTTACCCCCCCCCCCCAGTGTATGTCATTGGCTGGTGGATAGACTGTCGACTAAACTGACCTAAACTGACCTAAACTGACCAATTCCTGGGACCAGTTTCATATTTTTTCTAATTATTATTTTTGGGGGGTGACTATTTTTGTGAGGCAAATTTGGTTATTGTTGTTTTTGTGGTTGTTTTTTGTTGTTATTGTTGTTGTGGTTGTTGTGGTTGTGGTTGTTGTGGTTGTTGTTATTGTTATTGTTGTTGTGGTGGTTGTTGTTGTCATGGTTGGAATTGTATCTTTTCACTATAATTATTATTAGTATTATGATCATGACTAACTACTACTACTACTACTACTACTACTACTTTTTTTTAGATATGGCCTCCATCCTCCCCCAATAGCCACACCTTCGCCACCATTTTATTACCTTAATATTAAATATCCTAATACATAAGAAGCTATCCTAGCTGTGTTGAGTTAGTTGAGCCGCAGATCTATGCGGCATTCAGTGACAGTTGCCTTATAGTCAATATCTGCAGCAGTTGTCGGCTTTAGGGCCGATGCTCTCGTTCTCCTGAGGCAGAACAAAGCCGACCGAAGGAGAGAGAGGACAGTCGACATCTCATCCAGGCTGTAACATAACTTCTGGGCTGCTGCTTCTGTTCGGAGATCAACTCCTCGAGTCTGGAGTAGAAGCATCTTGCACTTGGTCCCATCCCACCAGAGGTTGTGAACACTAGAGGAGTGAAGCTGCCTTGATCAACGTTCTGAATTCTCTCCCCGTATGCCCTTATCTTGTCGTTCTCGTTCCTCCTGTGTGCAGCATCGAGAGCTAAGTTACGGTGACATGCGGCCATGGGATAAGAAATCCTGATGTCGAAGAAGGCTCGCTGTCCCTGCGTCCAGAATCCTCGAGCACTGATACTACCACTACTACCACTACTACATCTACCACTACCACTACTACCACTACTACATCTACTACTCCAACTAATAATAATACAAACAATACATTCATAGAATATAATACACATATATAATTTCCCGCCATTTTTGTTTATTTACATACGTGTGCCGGAGGGGGGGGGTGAGGATAATTAGTATGCAGATATGAGGTGCCATTTCGGGGTGCCAAAGCCATTGTTGATTCACTTTTATTAAATTTAATTGGCTCTGTTTAGGCTCCCTGCTAAGGCTCTCAGTTAAGGCTCTCAGTTAAGGCTCTCTGTTAAGTGCTCTCTGTAGGCTTCACTGATTCTGTTACACCTGTAAAATCTGGAAATAATTTTTTAAAGGTATATATTATCGTTGTTTTGATTATCATTATTTATTATTGAGATCACAAAACACACACACACACACACACACACACACACACACACACACACACACACACACACACTAGTAGTAATAGTAATAGTAATAGTAGTAAACATCTAATACCTCATAGAAAACGGTGGACATCAGAGGCATAACTAATACATTAATCACGAACGCTCCTGAAAATTTAAAACATATAACCAAATCGCCTTATACAGATTGCCTATTGAATATATCTTTACAATACATCAAATTCTAAATGAAAAAAAATGTATATGATTAAAAGACCCATTTGATGTCCAGGTAGATTTTAAAAGGACTATTTTTTTAGAAGTAAATGACCACAGCGGTAAATCCAAGGCTTATGGTAAAATGTATGTGTATATATATATAAGGGGAAAATATTGTTGGTAATTCTATCAGAAATTTGTCTCTTGTTATGAGGACAGACAGACAGACAGGGATAATATGTACACACGCCTACATACAGAAACACACATACACACACATGTACATCTAGAAGACAAACAAACACAAAGTAAACAGTAATATGAACGAGGTATAATGAAGAGTAATAAAAGAGGGACATAACGTTGAAGTAAGAGCTCTCTGATGACCCATAAAGGTCAAATTTTATGAATATTTAATGGGAATATCAACCTTAAGAGACGACATAACATACGAAGCCACCCAGAGTGAAGGTAGTGCCATGTGTGAGTGTTGTTGTTGTTGTTGTTGTTGTTGTTGTTAATATTCTTGTTATTGCTATTGGTATAATTATTATTTTTTTTCTTTCGGGTTTTTTTTTTGTGTGTAGTAGTAGTCCTCTCATCACCTCACCTCAAGATCATTGGTTCGTATCCCGTGCAACATTAGTCCACCAAACTCTCAATTGGTACCTACATTTACAGTTGGGGATGTAATGTGTGTCAAGTGCAGTGCCAAATACACACTGCTTTACATGACAACTACGCTTCTCTCATCTCTACTTGTGGTTGTTATTTATCTGGGGAAAAATATTCAATAAATCACTAATATATTTTGAATTCCACCTATAATATTCCTTTACTTTTACATGAAAGGAAAGTTTATATATACTTTACATATACTAAATATATCCTCATTATGTACTCAAGGCGCTAAACTATACTAATTTAAACTTTTAATTGTATTTTTTTTCCAGGTGACTTTACCAGCACTCAACATACACACGGATATGTAATTACCGTAAGTTACTTTGGTACTTTTTTTTTCAGTTTATTTTTTCTGACTAAATAAACAGTTTCGGTCGACTTTTCATGCAGTTAGTTTGCCCGCTGAGACAACAACAGACGGAGGGCCATATTTATTTTAATGCAATCTCTCTCTCTCTCTCTCTCTCTCTCTCTCTCTCTCTCTCTCTCTCTCTCCTCTCTCCCTCTCTACCGCCTAGTGGTTACTCAGGAATGATTTTTCTGTACTTTAATTTTTTGACTCGGTATTGTGTGTGTGTGTGTGTGTGTGTGGGTGTGTGTGTGTGGGTGGGTGTGTGTGTGTGTGTGTGTGTGTGTGTGCGTGTGCGTGTGTGTGGGTGATAATCTTACAAACTATAACCCCTATCAGAGAGTCAGTCAGTCAATAGGTCAACAGGTGCTGCTTGCTCTTCAAACACTGGGCTGATCACACCTGTCCTACCTGGCGTTAATTAAATATAAAACTTACTGCAATATACCTGTTATAGTTCACTTGATGAAAATTTGGAATAATTAACCTATTTAACTACTATTTATTATACCTACCCCAAATTAACCCTAACCTAACCTAACCTAACCTTACCTGACCTGACCTAACCACGTGAGGGGGTAAGGGTGGTTACTGAATCGTTTGTGTGACCTCAGCATCATTTCACTTGAGATTGCAGTTGGAAGAAGAAGAAGGAGGAGGAGGAGGAGGAGGAGGAGGAGGAGGAGGAGGAGGAGGAGGAGGAGGAGGAGGAGGGAGGAGGAGGAGGAGGAGGAGGAGGAGGAGGAGGAGGAGGAGGAGGGAGGAGAAGGAGGAGGAGGAGAGGAGGAGGAGGGGGAGGAGGAGAAGGAGGAGGAGGAGGAGGAGGAGAAGGAGGAGAAGGAGGAGGAGGAGGAGGAAGAAGTGTTTAATAATCCCAGAATTTTGGACACAGAGTTTGTTTGTGAGTTAGTAAAAAGATGAGACGAGAAGAGAGATAGAGAGACAAAGGAGGGGAGAGATACAAACAAACAGACAAAGGGATAACGTGAGACACAATGAGACGCAGACAGACAGACAGACAGACAGACAGACAGGCTCAAGAAATTAAATTAAATTGAGAATATAAACAGGAAAATTGTCCAAGCTGAAAAAATAATATTAAATAACAAGAACAAAATGTGTCTAAATCACCAGCACACGTCCTCCTCCTCCTCTTCCTCCTCCTCCTCCTCTTCTTCCTCCTCCTCCTCACAGCCACAACTGCCTCTTGTCTGCTG